GGCCGAAGAAAAGTGAATGTGACAACACTACCATAGATTGGAGGCCTGCTTCCTCCGGCCTTGTTGTTCACATGTGGAGAATTTTTTGCATGGAGAGGATCCAAGAATGGAATGTGAACATGGAATATAATGTTGCAATTCTAATACACATAAGTACTGTAATATCAGCTACTGTTGCATCACACAAACCCACTTGATGTGGAAGGGCATTGATGTCGCCCTTGAGGGGTCTTGGACACCAATTGCCGAACCCGGATTGCCTTGCAGAACCCATGAATATCAATATAAAAGAAAAGATTAAAATAACCAATCAGATTCACTATAAAAAAAGGGGAGAAATAACCCATTGATATTCCAATTGAAAAAATAAACCCATTGATATCTAATGTATGTGATAGATGGTCTTTGCTTTTTAACAACTGGCATTGGAGAGCTTGGTCAGGATGGTTCGATTATACCACCAGTCTCAAATTGCACACTAAATCTGCTATCTTAATGCTCTGGATCATGAACATATAAACTGCAAGGAAATCACCTTTCTAAAGATTCCTTTTGTAAACAACTCCATCACAGGCCTCTGCACTTGAAAAATCTTTTTGTTCCTCTCTTTCCAAACATCGCATGAAATATCAAGTGTAGAGTTTCCAAAAAATTTGCACCCTTGCTCAGTAAGGGCTGAACTCCGTCTAGTCATCAGCCAGCCACAGATCTAGGCTTTGCCTAGGACATTCAGTTTTTCCTTTAGGGGTGGTCACATGGAAGATCAGCCGTATAATTAATGGGGTGGTGGTCCATTGTTTGCTTCTTTTAAGATGCACTTTATATGTATTTGCATTTGGTGCTTGCTGGTCCATATTACTAATCTTATCTACAGAGGCCAACCAGTGGAAAGCATGTTCTTTTGTGGGAGGCCAGTGGAAAGCATGTTCTTTTGTGGGAGATGGCTCCTCTCAAACTAGGCGCTCAGGAGAAATTGTGTGGTTCAAACTCATTAACATGTATTAGAGAACCTGCCTTAACTCCACCCTCTCTAATCGTCATCAAAACTGGGCAAGAAGAGCTCCTCTAAAACCCTCAGTCTTCTCATGGAAAGCATTAATTGGGAAGCTAGGTTTCATGACAACCTAAAGGGGTATGGGAAGGAATTTTTAAGAGTCAAATACCCAAAAAAGGTGCCACCTAAAAGGGTTGCTAGGATCACCTCCCACAAAACTGAATGTGGCCAACATGTTAAGCATCTTGGTTGTAGTTGGCAAGGCCGTAACTCGCTTTTTTTTAAGGAATGATTTTCATTCTTAAACAACTGGTTCTTTTTTGAGGAAACGGAGTGCTGCAGCATTTATTATCTGAAAGAAAAATTTAAAGAAACAAGTGTTTGCCTTAAAATCTTCTTCCTTGTTATTTTAGTCTTTCTTCCTTGTTATTTTAGTCTTTCTATCAAGGCTTAAGTTATACGACTCCCTTTGAGCACCAAAAAGATACTTATATTGGTTAAATATTTGATTTCTGACACTGTCAACTGAGATTGTATTGGAAAAGTATTGGTCCTTCCCCTGCTGCACCACCCCATTGGCCCCTCCCCCCTCCTCCCTGCAATCCAGTCAAAAGATGGATGGAGGGCCCAGAATCTTGCAGATCCATCCTCTTGACCTCCAAGATCAAGATCATGAAAGAAAATTTGATTTGCAGCTCCCATAAAAATGCTCCATCTTGAGCTATCTAAACATCAGATTCAGACTGTCCATTCAATGCACCCCCCTAAGTGGATCATATTTGCACCATTTTAGGAGCTCTAAATCCAATTTTTTAGGACTGAAATGGATTTGTGGGTGTTTAGGAGGAATTTTGGGTCCTTAATCCATGGATGGGTTTTTTGTGGAAGGGATGCATGGTGTTTTGGAGTGCTGTGGCCACGCCAAAACTGAATCCAATTTTATTTGTTTTACTTGAGCATTAAATTTCTTCCTTCCTGCACAGAGACACACATACAACCACTTGTTAAACTCTTGTTTATAGTCAAAGCCTTTATTTTCATTCAAGTAGGTTCTAGCTTTCTTTTCGACCCCTTCTATTGACTATTTTTTGGATGAAAATTGAATTAGTACCCAATTTTTGTTTGCTAATGTATTTGCTGTTAAGCCAAGTCAAGGATGTTCTGGCACTCCAATATGTCATCAGCATACTAGAGGCATAGTAGAGGTGGGTTATCATGACCCCTCCTGGCCCACTCGCTTGGAGGCCTTCAGGTAGACCAGCAGAGGAGACTCTATCCGTTGTTGGATGAAGCTTTATTTCTACTATTAATGTCCAAAAAGTCAGATGCAAGGCGGTTTGGGGGCCTGGCCGCCTAGGCGGGTGCCCATGAACAAGGACATGTACCCTCTACCCCACTCCGACACACACCCCCCTCCCCCACTTCGACACACACACCCCTCCCCCACTCCGACACACACACCCCCTCCCCCACTCCGACACACACACCCCCTCCCCCCCCCAAACAAAAAAAAAAGGGCATCATATGTTGCATAACTTACTCTCCACCCTATTCTTGTCGAAGGGATTTAAACAAAATCCGTACTTCCAACCGGATTACTTTGCTTACTTCATCTAGTTCAAGACATTGTCACGGCTGGCGACTTTAACACAACTAGCAGAGACATTAATTCAAGAAAATCCGTACTTCCAACCTGACTTTAACACAACTCACAACTCACCTAATAAAAAAACCTGAAAAATATGCAAGATGTAAGTATTAACTATTAAGAATAAAATCTTGAAAAAAGATTCAAGTTTTACATGAAGACTATGAAGGAAATGGACCACTAAAAATATGTGGAAACTAGAAACCAATCAAAAATCACATAATATGATATCATTCTAAAATAATAATCGCATAATTTCATATAACATAATTTCCATAAGAATTGGTTTAGCAATATATTAACAAAATATCAGTTTAATTCAAAGTTTCAAACTATTGACAAAATAAAAGCTTAAACAGGTAAATATCAAATACCAATCCAAATTCTGTATTGCCCTAAGCTTTTCAAAATGAATTTGATGTGGTTCTAAACTGTGAAATATTCCCAAAACATTCAAGCTTTCAACTACAAACGTGTAAAAATATCATAAAAGAAAAAGAGAAGTAAAAAATATCAAATGATTCTAATTCAAATATTGCAATGCACTAACCTTTCTACGTGAAACCGATATTGGCCCAAATCCGTGATCTTTGGTCACCAAAAGTTCTCTTATGCGACCACTCCAAGCTCCAAAAACTATCTCAAAGTATTTCTTTTATTTTACTAAGAAATCGAAAAAGTTGAATTTTTTTCGATCTTGCAAAAAATCTCAAATCCCAAGTTTGTTTGAGTTTTTCTATCTCTAGGATTCACAAGAGGGGTTTTGGGGATTGGGAGAATGCACAGTGCCTAGGTGGACCGCCTGGGACCTGCCTAGGTGTTTTGGCTTCTCGGAAGCCTAGGCTGCCAGGCGGCTGAATTTTTAAATATTTGTCTACTATAATTGTAAATGGGAAAGTATATAGTGCATTTCTCTACCTTGAGAATGGGCGCTAGGCTGAGGTGGTCAGGGAATTATGTGTGACAACGTGACATCTAGTGTTCCATTCTCACCATGTCCCAAATTATACTCTACAGGGCTCTACCTATTGGTTTTCTTGCACCTTACCTCTTGTGGACTAATGATTTTGTATTTTCTGGTTTATTGCTTATTTTCTTTGATCTCTATAACCTTTTTTTGTATTGAGCACCCGGCTTTTGTGGGTTGCCATATTAGGGATTTGTACCAAAACTCTATAAATACATTGAGCCTTCTCTCTCTCTCTCAAAAAAAAATAAAGTAAAATAAAAAATAAAAAAATCAATCACATCACCTCAACGAAAATACCCTTTGGCACTCTAGTTCAATAAGTGCGAGAAACAGGCCAGAACAATAGTTACTACCTTATGTCTCATCAATTTGTCCCCAGATCCCATCCCTCCTAGAAGATAGTCTAGGACTTTCTAATCGACAAGGTTGTAGGATTTATTGTCTATTGTACTGTTTTAGATACAGAAGCATATTTCCCTCACTATAATTGAAGTTGATGAGCTGAGAGGGCGTTAACCGAGATTTGCCATTTTTTGATGAAGTAGCTTATGTATTTAGAGGCAGTAACAAACTCGAGCTTAGCTTCAATTTGTAAGTTTTATTTCTCATTATTTGTTTTACATGGGCTTTTTTTGGATCAGGCATCATGAGTATTACCTCTATTTTATTATTTTTAGAAGTACTAAATTCTTAATTATGCATAATCGAACCTAACTTTTTGAAATTTTATGTAAACTAATATTTTGATTACTCAAGAACAAAATATTTGTTAGTTTTGAGTTTTTTTTTTTTTTTGATTAGGTGATATTTTCATCCTTGAAAAGTATGTATAATCTTTGAGTTATTTTATGGCCCCCCTTGGTTTATTTCTTTAGAAGTTTTAGAAATAGTTTGTTACTTTGTTTTTACAATTTCATTCATTGCACCAGTAAAATGCAAATATGTATCATATCTTCAATGAATTTGAGCTGTTTAAATTTACACAAGACAGGCATATGTGCTCTCATTATTCTAATATAGTTGCAATTGTTTGTTACTTTTTTGCGGCATTGTTCTTTTAATTTAAGCTTAACTGTAGTGCACCCGAATGCTAATAAACTCAATCATCGTTATCCTCAATGTGTTTCTCTGCAAGGTGGAAGATTTAGGCTGGTAATTTTATGAGTGTATTGTGCTGCTAGATATTTTATATAAAATTTTAATAAGTTCATACTTCATAAATCCATGCTATACTTGGTTGAATTCATCCACGAGGACTTACTTGGTTATGATGTGAATATGTTATTTGTTTGCGTTTTATGGAATCTAAAAAGAATAATCGTATTTTCATATTCAGTTACTCAATGTTATGGTTTTGACTCTAAATTTTTCTAACATATCTTCTGCAGACTGTTCGTGTGTGGCAAGGGGCTGAAGATGGGAACTACAATTGTCGGCACATACTGAGGGATCATACTGCAGAGGTTGATTTCAGCGCACGCAAACACACGCACCTATGCATACCTCTGTGTTTGTATGCGTGCGCATGCGTGTCCCCCTTTGATGCCATCTCAAGTTATTCAAGTTATTATTGCCTATCATCTGGAAATAATGGTTCTGTTATGTTGTCAGGTGCAAGCTGTCACAATACATGCCACACATAATTATTTTGTGACTGCATCGTTGGATGACACGTGGTGTTTTTATGATCTCGCTTCTGGGTTATGTCTTACCCAGGTGGATCTTACAAAGGTAAATTGTCTCCTCCCCTCACCTCACTAGTCCCCACTATCGTGAAAAATATCACTCCTTTCCGTTTTTGGAAGGTATCACAAACATACCACAAGATTTTTCAAATTTGATATGCTTCATATTGCATGGCCACTTCTCTTTGGTTTTAGAACTTTCCCCTGCTAGTTTTGTGAAGTCTCTAAGGGAACCAATGTTCTAATTTATTTCCTCTTCAAAATATGTTTAGCATATTTTTTGCTTCTTGTAATTCTTTTGAATTTTCCCTAAGATTCTCTTGAAACCCATGAAACCAAGCTTTTGAAAGTCCCTCGAGAAGCCCTTCTTATTTTTGTTTTGGCTTTTTCTTGGGCAAGTCCCTCGAGAAACTACCTTGAAATGAAATATGCTTTGTGACTAAGATTCTGAGTTTTGCAGGCATCAGCTGATGAGTTTTCTGGTAAGAAAGGTGGCTATACATCAGCAGCTTTTCATCCTGATGGTCTCATCTTAGGGGTTGGGACATTAGAAGCTTGTGTAAGGATTTGGGATGTGAAGAGTCAGGTATACAGTTCATTTTCATGGGGATATCTTTGTTTTAATTATTGGAAATAGCCATAGAGAGCTTATCTCACCTTATTGGACATGCATCTCATTTGTTTAACTCAATGAAGGGAACACTGAGTAAACCCACCGTAGTCCAACAGAGAGATGGATGGTGATGGAGAATGGATAGGATCCACCCAGTTATATGATCCCAGTTGTTGGTGTCTCATGTGCTCTCCATCACCATCCATCATTTTATCTGGTGGTAATGACCCAGGCTGTCGTTCTACAGTCCATTCGGCTATGGTGTACCTTCCCTTTGTGCTGGTTTCTCTCTCTGATACACACACATGCAGCATCTCTCTCTCTCTCTCGCTATAATATTGTCTTGCTTGATATATGCTATGCACATGTAGTCAAATGTTGCAAACTTTGCTGGACACGATGGGCCTGTCAATTCCATATCTTTCTCGGAGAATGGGTACTTCCTAGCGGTGAGTTCATTTCTGTGTTCTTATGGTGTTTGGGGTGAAAATATATTTGAGGTTATAACCAAAACTTTTGATGCTTCAAAATTTACGAGTAGAAGAAATTTTTTGTGGCACTCAGACTGCGGCTGATGATGGCGTGAAGCTCTGGGATTTACGGAAGTTAAGGAACTTCCGATCCATCTCACCCTATGATTCACAGACACCAACAAACTCAGGTTTCAATTCTTTATCTTAAATTAATATTATTATTACTCAATTTATCTAGCTGGTTTTTTGTGTTCCACCGTGACAAATATCATTTATTCAACATAAATAGCACAGCAATATGAGATCTTTTAAAACAATTGTTTTACAGGAAACCATGAGACTGTTGCTTTCTTTGGCTTTTGTGTTATTTTTGAAAAAGAAATAAGTTTGTATAGAGCGTCAGCAAATATTGTTTTCAACCCCATCCACTTTAAGATATTTTTGGTAAATTGTTCCCCTTGTTTCTCTTCTTGTTTCCTGATGGTTTGCATTGGCAAAAAGATTTGCTCCTGCTGGAGCATATTCTTTATTCACTCCCTCAGGTGCAACCCTACTTGAGAGTATTTTTAGGACCCCAAAATTTTATTATGTAACCTCCTCGACGTAGCGACCAACATCTAAAAAAATAATAAGAGTATTTTGAGGACCGCCGCTTATAGGGATACAACATTGTCAATCTGGCGATCAACCTCAAAAAAAGAATCACGCACCCTGCATATGTGCCTGAGAAAAATAATGTCCGAAGATTGAACAAATACCATATATTTTTGGATGCTTGGCTTGAAGTTTTTGGAGATCTTCAGAGGAATGAAGTCGGACAAATTCTCAAGAATGAGATCTCTCACTGCTTTTGTAATCTTTTTAGATGATTATGGGAAATGTTCAATTTCCTGTCAAAGTTAATTGCAGATATTTCATCAGATTGGTTTTTTTGTCTTTTGTAGTTGAGTTCGATCATAGTGGGAGTTACCTTGCTATTGCTGGTTCAGATGTGAGGTTAGTATAGTGTATTCTTTGGATGCGAGCATTGGGTTGAGCTGCAAAATATGGAGGTTATGTGGTTTATCTTTATCCTGAGATGTGCTGAACTGTGTGCACCTTGTTTCAGAGTGCACCAAGTTTCAAATGTGAAGCTTGAATGGGAGCTTATCAAAACATTTCCAGATTTGTCAGGCACAGGTCTCCCTCCCTCCCTCCCTCCCCCTCTCTGTCTCTCTCTCTCTCTCTTTCTCTCACTGTGGTAGGTTATCTTGGCTTCCATGAGGGACAATTTAAGGTCCAATCTCTCGACCCTGCTCATCAAACTAGGCGTGACATCTGGACTGAATCTCTCTTGCTCTCATGCTTGAACATGTGTTTTGCTATTGGACTTGGCATTGCCTCTCTCTCTCTATCTCTCTCTCATTCTTGCACATTCATGCTTGCACATGTATTTATCTGTTGGACTGGGCATTGCTTCTCTCTCTCTTTCTCTCATTTAGGTTAGTTCTCTTGGTTTGCATGAAATACTCCAGTCATGCAAACTAGGTTGATGCCTTCGGACCGATTGTCTCTTACTCTCTCTCCTCACATTTGCAAAGAATATTTTGATTTTGTAATTGGCATGGCCATTGTGAAGAGGACCAGAGAAACACTGCACTCTGAGGAATTTTAAGGTGGGATTTGTTCTCTGTGACTGCAGGGAAAGTTACCTGTGCCAAATTTGGTCCCGACGCAAACTACTTGGCCGTGGGTACACAGGACAGGAACTTGCGCATACTTGGTTTGCCTCCTGCTGGAACTGAAGAAGACACAAACGACTGATTGAGCTCCGTTCTCTACTTTCCATGCCAAATACGGCCACAGGTCAGAGTTTTAGGAGAGATAAAAAAAGTCATCTTGATACATTTTGGCTAATCTGAATTTTTGGTCATTCGGTGTTATTAAAGTCTATAATTATTCCTTGTGTAAATTGCTTGTACACTTAGAATTTTGCAGAGCAATTTCACGTGTTCTCCCACTTTGGCAGAGCACCCTGTAGTTTGCAACTGCGATTATGGACTTAGAACGTACAAGTTCTGCCCCTTGTACTGTATTTAAGGTGGAAATGAGCTGGAACATCACAAGTTTTAGACTCCACGGGTACTTGGGACTTAAATGAGAGTGTGGTTGGGTTTCTCCTTGTTTTCCCTAGAGCTTATACTAACCTTGGATGTTATGTTATTCCTGGTTGATAATGTTATGATTAACCGTGCTTTGACTCTACGAAGAGTTCCTGCTATTGATTTCACAAAGCAGGAGATCCAGGTGGTGGAATGATTTTATAAATGTGTATTATAGCGCGAAATGCTTACATTAACTGGTATGTTATCCTTGTATGAGTTTGCCTGGCTTTCCTATTTTGGGTGGTGCTTGTAATCTTTCAAGGGATTATATACAACGAGATCAATTATCTTCTGCATTTAGTGAGGCAATGGGCCTGGGCTGGGCAAGTCGTGGTCCGAGCTGGGCCTGGGTCCCTGTAGGGCAGAACTGGGCCCCTTGAGGTTCTTCCCGGGCTGAAGTGGCCCTGCATCATGTCCAGCTCTGGCCTAGTCCGGGTTGGACGGATTCCAACCTCAAGAAAACAAAAAAATAGGCCAAAAAAAAAAAGGGGTAAAAATGCAGGACCTAGTTTTTAAGGGTCGACTCCTGGTCCATTGCCAATCCCAAAAGCTGACAATTTGGGGGGTGCAACAAAATTTCAAAATTTTTGTTGGGTTTTGAGCCGGACCAACAAGACAAAGCTTCTGGATTTTAAATCCTGTGAACGATGAAGAGTAATAGTGACCTTCTAAGAAAGGTCAATGATCTTATTATGCATTTTCTTTTTACAAAAGATTCTGAAAATATTAAAAGAATATTTTCTTTGAAAATTGGTTTTAAGTGCCTAGCATACACCAAAATATGCACGGTATGAGATATATTCACTCTTTCAAAATTCAAGTTTTCATATTTTTCTGAAAAAACCTTTTCATTGGAAAGGCCAAACGATGTTTGTGCAAAAACTGACCCTAAAAAAGGTGCTTTCAACACCACAAATTCGGGGTAGGCAAACTTGTACACTGTTAGTCGAGCTAATTTATATAATTACTAGCTTACGGGTGAAAAAAAAAAAACTTAAGAAAGACTCACTTCTAAGGAACTTGGAACTTTTTTTATCCGAAACTCTGAACACAGTTTCATAAACGCGGGGAACAATTTAATTTTTTTTTACAAAATTGAATTTCTTTTTTGACGAACTTTATTTTATTAAAAAAAAAGCAGAAACATAAAATCAAATCTTCAGAAACCTAGAGCACATCTATACTTGGACCACATTTTGCGAGACCGTACGCAGCAGAATTTACACGTGCTAAAAAGAAAGAAGTTGAATTTCAACCCATATTGACAGTAAGCCTCGAGGAGGCCTACGACGACCACATTGAGAGAGTTCCACGCGAGGCTCAGTAGACCACCTTTCTTTGAAAAGTTGAAATCCTTGCAACACCGTCCGAATTCCGAATTTCAGCATCATTGGCTATCAATTAAAATGTTAAAATTTCTCATAAAGAAGTTTTGATGAACATCAAAGACTTGAGCCTTTAAAAGAACTAAAAAATTGTAAATTTTTTTAGGTTATTTTAAAAGTTCATATGGTGACGATGAGAATCTTTAAAGTTTTTTGCATCAGACAAATCCCTCAAGGCCTCAATCTACTGCCCATCTTTCTTAAAAAAAAAGGGATTATATTCATTGTTTTCTCTAAAAAGAAATCATTTTTGTTTAATGCGCTTGTTGTTTGAGATGAACATGGATTTTTTCCTTCGTTAGTTTTTTTAAGCCGCAAGCTAACGTTGTATAAATTTGCTTAACGGTATGTCTGAAAACCTGTCTAGGAGGCTTTTATCTATATATATATATATATATATATATATATATTATTTTTTTTGAAAAAGCTGAGGTTAGCTCACTAATTAACGTTACAGTGTTACTTTAACAATCTAGATTGAATCTGGGCTGATCCAATGATTATGATTGTATTTCGTATTTGAATTTTAATATTTTTTATAAAAATTCAAATCACTTGAAATTTTTAGCGCTTATTTTTTAAAATATGATAAGCTAAAAAAAAATATATAAAAAAATAAATTGATCAAAATACCCCTAAAAATTTTGGAGTATTTTAATCAATTTCTGTTTTATGATTTTTTTTTTAATATTTTTATTAAGCACACATTAATAAAAAGAATGGACGCTTAAAATTTCATGCGATTTGGATTTATAAAAAGAAATATTTAAATTATATTTCAAAATGAAATCGTGACAAACAAATCGACCCATATTCAATTTGGCTGTTATATATATATATATAAAAGACTTCCCAACGCCTATAGCCGAAAATGAGCAGTGATTTCGTTTATCCTCATCACCATCTAAAATTCATCGCACGATTACGATTGTTCGGTAATGTTATATTTTTCATTTGTAGAAAAAAAAAATTAAAATGAAATATTATCGGATAATCGTGACCGTGCCATAAACTTTGGACGGTGATGAAAGTAGGCAAAATCATTGTTCATTTTCGCCTATAGGCATTTGATAGTATATTCGTGTGTATATATATATATATATATATAGAGAGAGAGAGATAGAGAGTAATGACACTACGAGACCTTCTCACACCCATATGATTAAGACTCTCAAATGATCACTATTAAATTTGGTACGTGCCATTTTCTCATTGAAGCCCACCTATAAGAAATATTAAAAATAATTTTTTAATAAAATATAATGACCAAAAATACCCCTAAAAACTTTCCGTGGTATTAGTCATTTTATTTTATTGGAAATATTTTTTTTTATATTTTTCGCTAGTGTGAGTTTAATAGAGGATTAGAGGTACAAAATTTCGTATCAAAATCCTTTTTTCTTTCATAATCATACATCTCAATGTCGAGATGTTCAATTAGAGGATTCTTCAACATTAAAATAATATTTTCCAATGGATTGTTGAGGTGCATCCGTAGTTCTAGATTTTAAGGTTGCAACCCATATAAACATTTCCCTTATTTAAATTGTTACTCTTTGTATTTTTACATTTGGTGAAAAGTACAAACAACCAAATTTTGAGCTTTACCCGAAAGGTTTCATGATCACGATGGAGCATATTTACTCCTTTGGGAAAAACCCAAGCTGGAGTATATTTACTCTGGGAAAACCCAAGCTAGGAGTACTTTTAAGACCCCAAATTAGAGATGTGTTCTCTTCAACCCAAGTTCAATTAAATATTTTGTTTTCCAGATTACATTCTATATGGGTTTGAAAAAAGAAAAAGCCTCGAGATTAAATAGAAACGGTCTAATTTTTGAAGGGTGGAATCTAAGTGTTAGAGAACTTAAAATTTCAAATTTTTTTAATGATAAAACTTAAAATTCAAAATTTTGGTAATTGACTCTTTAGGTGGCTCGCAAAATTTTGGATCAAATGAAATTTTCCCCATTTAGTTTTCTTCCCAAGGGAGTAAGTCCACAATATGCTCTCCTGGGAGCATGGAAAGGTATTCTAATCTAATTTATAAGAATAATTAAAAATTAAAATTTGATACATATTCTAAAAATAAAATATCTGTCTATCTATCTATTATCTACACTACAATACTAAGCCGTAGTTAAGGGTTGGACATATGATGCAAGAATAAAATAAAATCCAATACAAAGAGATAAAGTTGGGTAAATGCCCTAGAAATACAGGAATTTTAAAATAAGGTATCTCTCTAATTCAATAATCGAATTCATTTTGTAGGACTTAAAAAGATGACATAATCGAATTCATTTTTTTAGGACTTACAAAGATGACATCATAGAAGATTAAGGTCAGGGTTCTAGATTTAGAGAGAGGGTCACATAGATATTTTAGGAGAGACATGGGAGCTCCCATTAAAATAGAAAATGATGCGAGTTCCTATAATTACAGGAAAGGAAATGTATTTTGAAGGGTAGGATATACGAGCTCCAATGATGAAAGGAGAAAAAGCTAGATTCATGGCAAATCGGTTTTAAGAGAGGAGTAGCATGCAACAATTAAAAAAAAAGAAATTACCATAACATTAAGGTGTGGTTTGCATAAGGTTGAGGCCCTAAACCATCAAAGGATGGTGCACCTTCAAATAATTTGTGAAATATATTTTTTCAGCTTTGAAAATATTTGTGATGGCCTGAACATTTATTTTTATATCTAATTGTAGACTTTAAAGCTTCAAAAATAGTGTAGATTGAGTAGATCTATGAGCACTTGAAAATCTTGAAAAATTAACGGTCCAAAAAATGTATTACATAATGCACTACTCCAAGACTTAAAGTCTATTTTTCACATGTCCCTACATTTTGAGGTTGAGATAATCGATTTGAGGGTTTTTGAGCATTGAAACAACCTCTTATAATGAATTTTTGAGGTTCGTCTTAATTTGATTATTTAGAGCATTGCCCTTAAACTTTTTCCTTAATTAAAAAAATAGAATTAATGTGAGGATCTAATTCCTAGCCCATACTAATTTTAGTATATCAGGAGACATGAGAACTCCAATTAAAATAGAAGATGACATGCGTTTTCATAATAATAGGAAAATAAATGTATTTTGAAGGGCCACATTTGTAGGAGCTCCCATGATAGAAGTTATAAATAGATTTCATGGCAATTGGTTCTAAGGGAGGAGTAGCATGTAGGGAAAGATAGGAATCATCATAACATTTTGGGTACTAACTTTAGTTAGGAAAATATTGCTTAGGAATCATCCTAACATTTTGGGTACTAACTTTAGTTAGGAAAATATTGCTTAGGAATCATCATAACATTTTGGGTACTAACTTTAGTTAGGAAAATATTACTTAAAAATTGTAGGTATTTTTTATTTCTTTAACGGATTAAAGAAATAGCAATTTTTATTTTATTTTTTTGTAGAAGTACATATTATAGAAGAGACGTGCATATGGGCAATTTTGGATATGTATCGATGTAATTGTTTCTGATTTATTAGACTTTATTTTTCCATATATTAAGCCAGAATTAAAGGATGAACAGACAAAAGTAAGATGGGACCCTAATTCTATAAAGAATGGAGGGCACGTTGTTTATCTCTAGGGGAGGAGAGAGACACCCATTTAGTAGGTGGAGACAAAATTGAGAGAGATGAAGAGTAAATCAAATAAACATGTTTCCATATTTAGGGAGAGGAAGAAGGAGATGAAGAGTAAATCAAATAAACATGTTTCCATATTTAGGGAGAGGAAGAAGGAGATGAAGACATAGAGAGAGCACAATAGAGAAGGAGATAAGAGAGAAAATCATTGAAGCTTTGTCTGAGTTACGGTATGGACATGTATCGCAAAAATAAGAAGGGGTTCTTTTTATATTGCGATTTTAGGACATATTTCCCATATTTAAGAGAAAAGAGAATAAAATTATGCATTATTTAGTACATGGAGAGGAAATTGAGAGAGATGAAGAACAAATCAAAGAGATAGGTTTCCATATTTAGGGGGCGGAAGGACAGAAATTGAGAGAGGTGAAGAACAAATCAATGAGATAGGTTTCCATATTTAGGGTGAGGAAGAAGGAGATACATGTATAGAGAAAGCATACGAGAGAGGAACAAATCAAAGAGATAGGTTTCCATATTTAGGGGAGGAAGAAGGAGATAAATATATAAAGAAAGCATAAGAGAAAGAGAGAGGAAATGATTGAAAATTGTCTTAGGTAAAGATGTAGATTTCCTTTTCAATTTAGTTTAAGATTGCACCTTATGTAGGTTTCCTTCTAAATTTCGTAATACTGATTGAGCTGTTAAAATGTGCCAGTTAAACCAATCTAAAACTGATTAAATTTTAATCAGTTTTTAACCAATCTCAATTTTAACTTTAAAAGCATGACCGGTAATTTGACCAAGCTAATCCCCCAAAATTAATAGAAATTTAGCATGTATAAAGGCAAAGTTTATATGTGAAATCATCAAACTTACAAAAGATCGTGTATACGATATTCTCTTGCAGGATCACACTTTCCATCTACTCCCTCGGGCAGATAACCTAGTTGGGAGTATTTTTTTAATTAAAAATTTTGGAAACTACCTAAGAATCACTAGATTCTTATTTTCAAAAGAGAAAATTTGAATTTTAAGTTTCTAACACTTAAATCTCACCCTTAGTCTCTCATATCAATCACAAAACGTTATTTTTTTTTAGAAAGTTTGTCAAAATACACCTTAAGGTATTAACTACCTATACGTTTTGATTTAATTTCAGAATGCGCATCAATGGGTCGGAATAGTAGAGAAAATGTAAAATGTTAAATAGTTGAAAGCTAGGTGTAGTTTGATAATACAAAAAAAAAAAAAAAAAAAAAATACATAGAGAGTGTGCGTCGAACTTTTCTATTGACGATGTCACATCACCACTTTTTGGTATCCTTAAATAAGGCCATGATTAGATTTTACCTGAGGGAGTAAATAGATAGTATGCTCCCTTGGGAGAATGGAGCTTTTTGGCCTGAAGAAAATGACTCCAGTGGTCTAAAACAATCAATTTATCACCAACGTATTCACTTAAAAAAATCATTGTAATTAATTTATCACAGCAGTAGTAGTTACTTTAAAAAAATCATTGCACAAAGAACCTCTCAAACCGTAACTTACGAAATACCCAAAATGTTCTTAACAAATAACCAAAATATCTTTGTTTTAGGTCCAAAATCTTGAACAAGCAAAAGTATTTTGGTAAAATTTGCAGTAATTCGGACGGCATAACTACCGTTCACGTCTTTTGGGTTAAAAAAATCAACAGATATTCTTATATAAGGAAGCCTTATTCCAATTGGGAAACAAAGACAAGCAAATGGCATTCATCTTCATCCTAATGACTAAACTACCCACGTTTTTAACAAGTTCTAAAGTCCATTGTCCAAAATATCAAATTAGCAAATTTGGAATACTTTTTCTTTTATTTCAATAATTAGGTGTTATTCATCAGTAAAAAAATATTATACTCAATATTCTACACTTTTGAGCTTATTATCTTACTACCACATTTGATTCAAGAGTATTCTAGGCAAGAACTTATCATCACATGAAACATGAAAAATTTAAAAAATGACAATAAATGTGCATTTCTCTAGAACTATTTCACTTAATTTTTCCGAGAAATAAGTACTTCAGTCAATGCCATGCAAAAAAGCTGTCTTTTTTTTTTTTGAAAATAGCAAAAAAACAAGTCTTATCTGAATAAGCCTTAAAAAAAATGCCTAAACGTAGATTATTGACTTCCGGAGAAAAGTGACGACAACGATCAAACTCACCAAGATAAATACCATAAATTAGTATCTTCTGCCATTAAGGGGAGAGTGGAAGGAACTCTAAATGCATGATCAGAATCAAGCCAAGCCATGCCAGAGCTTGAAGCAACAATGCAACTTGTGAGCAGGTAAGTAGGCCAATACCCATTGACACAATCACTATGGCATGTCGACAAACCATTAGGTTCTCTTTTTTTGAGGAAATGGTTAACTCTGCATATATAAAAATAATGTATTACATCAGAGAACAAAAGACGGAATGCATGATCAGAATCAAGCCAAACCATGCCAGAGCTTGAGCAAGCTTGAAGCAACAATGCAACTTGTGAGCAGGTAAGTAGGCCAATACCCATTGAAACAATCACTATGGCACATCGACAAACCATTAAGTTCTCTTTTTTTGAGGAAATGGTTAACTCTAAATATATAAAAATAATGTATTACATCAGAGAACAAAAGACGGCATCCCATAAGTTGGGTGCTCAGTATACAAAAATGTACAGTTAAGAGGGGTGAGAAATACAGAGAATAGGGAAACAAAGGAGATGAGAGACAAGACTGGAGATTTTGCTACCCATGAACAATAGTTGAGAATGGTTTTCTTAACACCATCACTTGGGCTCAAGACCAACAATGGATGGTAACTATTCATCCCAGAGGGAGGTTCGAAACTCAGCTAACTACCTCTTTAATACTTTGTGGTGTCAATGACTTCATTGCTACTTTATCTAGTGGCTATGTACTTAATGAAACCACTGAGGCTGTAAATTACCCTACAAACTTTGGGGTGCCAATCATAGACAGTCTTAGTGAATACTTGGTTGTTATAATCTTTTGCTACATAATAAAATTGGATTTTACTTTTATGTAGAATTTGTTTTAAGTTATAAAAGAAGCATTTGCACTTGCACAATGCAAGTGAAGGCAATGATGATTTTGGGGTTAAAAAGAGACAACAAGATAAACTATTAAAATGTTCTTTTCTCTAGATTGTAGGATTATAATAATCTGTGATATTTAATAAACCAGTAACCATAATAGTTTCTTTGATAGCAATCAGTTTTGATAATTGTTTTCGACTTTCATTGTCGTGACATGAGTTTTACATAGATTGTCAGTATTTCACTGGTATAATTGATGCAATAAACTTCTATAAACGAATTATTTTAGCTTAATTCATGAAAGATAATCTTACTTTTCAATTTCAGAGCTCTCTTCTGGGAAGTTTTGTAAAGCATCTAACAATTTTTGTTTTGAATGATTCAAACCATTACAAAAAAAGAACAAGAAATTCAAGTAAAACGGATAAAATCTTCTGATATAAATCTATTAGATCCATTCCCTCAAAATAAAATAAAACAAAACAGAAATTCCAACGATCCATAACCTCATTTCATATCTCAGGAATATATATATATATATATATAGACATCATTCCGATATCATAATCCTAATTTTCTTTTGTATTAATCAAGCTGCCACAGAACATCTAAGACCCAGATCAATACAATCAAGACCTAATTCCAAAATACAACCAAGACAATAAAAACCTAGAAACAACCCAAACCTACCCTTAAACTCTTGCTAAACCCTAATCTTCAGATATGGTCAGCCCAAAAAAAAGGAAAGGAAAACAGAGCCAACCTCGGAATTCACCAGATCAAAACCCTAATCTCTCTTTCTCGATTTCATTTCGCGGGCGCCATCATAGGGGTACCAAAAACCGTAGCATTCTGTGCCTCTTGCTCATTGATCTGTTGCTCTTTATCTATCTCAACAATCAAAGGAACAACGAGAACCAAAAGCACAGTGCTCGCAAACCACATTGCGCTCCCGGTCTTTTTCAAGACCTTCCATGAAACGTCTTGTGATTTTGAGGCTGCGGATTTCGTCATCTTGAAGAGGGAAGACTGAACAATGGAGTTCGAAACCCTAGCCACGATGCCATCGCTAGGGTTAGATTCGGATCCTGGTAAAGCCGCAGGGCCCCGCTTCTGAGCCATTGCTTAGGTTTCGAGTTTTCAGGTTTGGGGAAATTAGGGCACACCTTTATTGGCTTCGTAGGGTTTGTGGCAAGTGAGAAGACCGGGGGCTATTTTTACACAAAGTATTAAAAGAGCGCGGTTATGCTCCCACGATATCATATTGTACATTTACCATCTCTGCTGTAAGAAGCATGGACTTTTGGTTTTTTTTGGGTGTAGATTATGCAGTGCTTCAACCTTATACCATCAAAGTGAGTGATACTTTTAAGGAAAATTGTTTCATGCGAGCTAGACCGTATTTCTACATATGCAGTCCAAAAAGTGTAAAGCGTCTCTCTTAAAGATGATGCAAGCATAGGAACTAACCGTCCAAATGTTTTTTTCTTAAAATTGTTATTTTTAGTTTTAAAAATTTATTTATTTTTTTATATTCATGATCTCCATCTTAAGAGTTTATATGTCCGTAAAAATAAAGTCTTTAAATCCATCTTAAAAATAGATTTATTAATAGGCTTGCATTTCTACATTCTCGGGCTTGGGCTTGGCTACATAGAAATCGGGTCCTACTTTTAATTATAGATTCTATATTGAATTCATAGTTACATCAGTTTGATTGTTGGGTATATCACAAAGTTTAAAAAAACTTCTTTTGAGCTTTGAGCTTGGTCAATGGAATAAATGCAACCATCAAATTTCACATCCAATGGTCAAGATTAATTGCTCCAAATATAATACATGTGCTGAAAACTCCTACAATTAGCCCAAAAATATATTGCTACATCTAATTTTAGAATTTTTTTTTGAACGGAACATCTAATTATAAAATTTAAATATCTAAAAATAGTACACATAAAGCAGATCTATAAACACTAAAAAATCTTAAAAATAAATGGTCTAACGAACGTATCACAAGATGCATTATTTCTATGACATGGCATCATTCTTTTTCTTTCTATCTATACATCTTGTGGTGAAAAGGATCAATTAGAAAATGATCAATATTTTTTTCTTTATATATAAAAGCATTTTCTTTTACATATATAATTTTGATAGTCACATTATTATTCTTAAAAGGAAAATTAAATTTTGAATGTCAGAACACTAAGATCGCACCATTCAAAATTAAATGGTCTCATTCAAGTTTCTTTTATTGCCGATGAAGTGAAGTTGGAGGACACTACTGCTCTTTAACGAGGAGATGTTGACAGAATTAATATTCTCAACAAGGTTTTTGTTAGGCTGTTTTTTATTGTTAATGGAATTTTTATTATAAAGGGCTCTTGAATCCTTCCAGTTGGTTTATTACTTCCATTTTATTTTCACATTTGGTACGAGTGAAAATGCTTATGTGAAAATATTTTCACTTGAAAAAACTCCATCATGCTACTAAGTAAAGTTTTTTCTGATCCCAACACATTTTTCACATCCCAACACATTTTTCACACCATTTAAAGCCATTTGATGTGAAAAAACTCCCCTATCTAGTCATAGCTATTTAATGTCGAAAAAACTACTTCACTTAAATTCTTTCATATGAAAATATTTTCACATATACCAAACATAACATATACCAAACATAACATTCAGGCCTAAAAGATTTTATGTTTGTATAGTCAAAAAGATTTTATGCTCCTGCAAGGGCATATTGTCTATTTACTCTCTCAGTTACAATTCAATCTAGAAGTACTTTTAGAACTTCAAAATATGCTCATGTAACCTTCAACTTATAGATTAATCTCAATAAAATACACTTCCCAATTGCATTCCATTAGCTTGAGAGATATAATATCTCAAGATTGAATAGAGATCATCCAATTTTTAGACATTGAGATCCAAATATTAGAGAACACAAGTCCTAATTTTTTTTATTTTGAAAATAATTCATCTAGTCATTATTAGGCAGTTACAAAAACTCCATATCGAAAGAAACCCTCCCAAGTAGGTCTCGTTCCCAAGGGAATAACTGATATACTCCTGAAGGAGCACAGCATATGTGCTGCTCTTTATTGGCCCTATGAAATAGTTTACCAATAAAATCGAAACATAGTTCGGATTTTTTGAATGGTTTAAAACCGTTCACATTTTAGACAGCAAACCATTAACATTCTCATAACAACAGATCGAAATCTGCTCCTCCAGGAATGCGCATCTCATTTGCATCAGACATTTTCTCTTTCTAAAAATTGCAGCTGTAACTTCACTATATCCCCAAAATGAAATGGGAAACCTGAAAATTAGGTCTGAGATGATACCAAGAAGCATTCTATATCAAAAATGAAATCCCTCAACGAATGAAAAAAAAAGTTTCAAAAGCTTAATGATAGAAGAAGCTCATGGTATCATCATCATACATCATGGTCATTGTTCATAGGGGGTAGTAATCTGTCTTCTTCATGGGGTATATCATTCATGGAGACCTGCAAGCTTGGCTTAAGAGTCATCTTGTTCCATTCATTCTCTACTCTGAAGAATATCCACTGAAACCTTCGAAGCATTTCAAGAGCCGTAATTGTAAACACAGTAAGGTAATTATGGCGGAGATGAGCTGAAAGCTTGTATGTCCATGTGCACCTGAGGACCAAGTTGCTTCCTATTGCCCAATAATAAACCTGCAAACACCAAATTATCAAATAATAGTAATGAGAGTGAGGAGGCTGGTGATAATGAATGGCGGTAATATGATGATAATGGTGAAATATAAATGGTGATAGATTGGCCGAGACAAATTCTTGTGATGAACGACAAGAGGATGGTGATAATGAATGGCGGTGATATGATGATAATGGTGAAATATAAAATGTGATAGATTGGCCGAGACAAATTCTTGTGATGAATGGCATCCTTTGCTTGGTGCAAGTTGAAAGGAATAAAGATATTTTGATGGTGTGACGAAGAAAGACTGTACCCAAAAATATTGTCTTTGAAGTTTATCAGCGAGGTAATTTCTTCAGAGCTTTTTAAACTTTTTCTTTCTCGAGGGAGAATTCATGGGAAATCATCGGGAAATATTGAAGAAAGGAAAAAGCTTATATAAGGTGAGGCCCTAAACAATCAAATTAAGGCGCACCTCAAAAATTCACTGAAAAGGTTGTTTCGATGTCCAAAAATCCTCAAATCGATCATCTCGGCCTCAAGATGTATGAAAATTAGAAAAAAAGGATATAAAGTTTTGGAAATAGTGCATATATCTGCTTGATCTACACTAGTTTAGAAGCTTTAAATTTTATAATTAGAGATGAAAATGACTTTTCAGGCCATCACAAATAATTTCAATACTCAAGGTGTGCCTCATTTTGATAGTTTAGGGCTGAGGCCTTATACAAACCACACCCTCAAAGAAAAGGAAGAACATACGAAACATGTGAAAACCTGAAACAGCTGAGAAATTACTGTTCTTTATAACTTAGTAATTGTAAATTTCTATATACCAAAAAGACAAAAAAAAAGTCTTCTACTCATACTTTACTGCTAATCTTTATTAAGGTAATATAAATTATAGTACCTCTTAGATCATGCATGGATATGAGGAGGGGTTAAGACCGTCCATTGTCAACAATTGACTGTTGGGGAGCTTCATTGCTAAGCTCAAAACGGGTAAATATTTTTAAAAGACTTTGGGTGCAAAACCACATGCTCATAAACATATTGCAAACTTCCCTTTCTCGAACTTCTTTTGTGGTCTTCAGAAATTTATTTGTATTAATCTTGCAAACTTATATAAGAAACTTATACCGACATTCAAAAAAGGATCTGCTGATAACAAAAGCATCTTTTCTTTGTTCAAAATTTTATAACATTTTCAGGAAATTTGCAGATTAGAATAGAGATATTTGTTACTACCAGAAAAAGTTCATCCCAAACCTCAGACTAGAATGCTTGCTCCCCAGCAAGACATAATGAAGTGTGTAAAACCGAAACCAATCAAAAGAAAATAACACAAGACTGAGGAATCTTACCCATTGTCGTCCATACAACACATTGGAGCATAGATGTGGAGTTTTGAATTTGAATATTCTGGAGAAAACACTGGAAAGGCAAAATGGATGGAACATAAGTTCTCTCATCTTTATAAGAAGATGAAACGTCAAATCCAAAAACTTTTATGCTTCCTTTTTTCTGATAAAAAGATATCAAATTCTATCAAGTAAAATGAATACCTCAAGTCCCAGTCCCTGGTGACATCCCAATAAAATGAATACAATGAATTCGCAACACTTGAGAGGAGCCAGAGAGGGCGATAGATGTTGGTCCACTGATCGGGGAATACATGGTATTTCAATGCCGAAAGAAAAATAACAGGGACTGCAGTTGAGTACTTTAAAGCTGGAATTTGAAAGAAAAGGATATGTCAATCTCTAGAAATGTGGTTCGACCCAATAACCACAAAATCTAGTGCAACAATTCATCATGTACCACACATTTGTAGCACAGTGGTCTACAAGACTGATTTTTCTATGCATTATCACATATAATTGTTTAGAAATATTCTTGAATGCAGTAGTTACACCCATGCTCCAATTCTGGTAGAAACAACAGAGTGTATTACAAGATATGGTTAAGTGGTAGATAACACATCTAAGCTTATAGAAACTCTGGCTATCTGAGGGAAGAGCTTTCCCTCCAATCAATGTGCGAAATTATATGGTCTAAAAAGGAACAGCCATGTAGAAGTCCCAAAGAGTGTTCACAGACACACACACACACATGTTTAAGACAGAGAGCCTGATTCAAAAACAGATGAAACAACGCAAACGTATAAAATACAACTCATCTCTTCACAAGGGAAAATGTGAACAAGTTGTGAAGATGACTTGCTGAAGGATGCATCTTATACATGTTTCTGGGCGGTAACTGTTCTGTTATGGGACTATCCTGATTGACATTCTTCTCCTAACAATGTGATTCTTATACTTCTTTAATGTTGCTCGAGTTGGGTTGTCAACTTATGCAAGGACTTGAACTTTGTAGCAAATAGGGACAGGAAAAGGTCGAAGCAGCTAGCAGAGTAAGTAAAATACACTTGCTTACATTTAGGACTAGCGATAGAGCCAAAGCCTTCTACAATGGTCATTGCAAAAACAGATTGAATAAATTTGACAATAGTCAGGAAAAATACTAATAGGACCGAAGCCTTTTACAATGATATGATCACATACATTACATGCCTAAGAAACCTTTTAAGAAGAATGCAACACTATTAAAGTCTCATACATGAGAATGGAGAGGCTAAGGCGTATATGAAAACCTGTGCATTTGTTTGCTCCCATGCCATCATGCAAATTCCTTAAAGCAAACCAATTTTTCAGAAAGAAAACTATTGTTTGAGATATCTCACCATTCAAAAGGCATGTTCTCTCCCTGGTATCCTTATATTGCCGAAGGCATTGGAAGAAGCGCCAAACATAAGGTAATACAAGCACTAAAGGAATTGCAGCGGAATGACTACCACAGATAGAGTCAGCTTCAAACCATGCGATAGTTGCAACCTTTGAATGTCAAGAACAAACTAGTAAGGTAAATTTGCATGCCAATTATTAGGTTAGTAAGCCACAAAGCTAGAATGTCAAATGAGTCCTTGTGCAATCACACAATGATAAAATTACTCGACACTCACAAAGATTTAATGCACCAATGTAACCTAATTTCCAAATTAGCTACAAGACAGACAAAGACAACCACAATGGAATATATCTAAAAATATCTTTCTAACCTAACAAAAAAGCCTATTTATATAAGAGCTAGGAGAAAACATACTGACTTTAAAACCATTTTTTTTTGGGTGAGTCAGTGGGGAGAGAGGGCCCCTAGCCGTAGTAGGAATTGAGCCTAGGACGTAGTGTTGCAAATCGTCAAGAGCTAACCAATTAAGATATTTATTCTATTTATACACTATAACTCATCAATAATAATTATTTTTTTGTAATTAACATTAATTTTCTTCATAACAAAATTATTATCAAAAAACACAATTTTCCAGAAAACAACTGATAAAAAAACAACATAGACCAGAGAAAAATCGGCAAAAAATAGTCTTCCTCCTTTGTAATAGCCTCTAAAACTAAATCCCTGAAAAAGAGTAATGATATATCATCAAAAGAAATGTTTCATTTCAAAAACCCAAGCTTTTTTTAACAATAAAAAACCAAGCAACAAAAAATAAAGATATCAGATAATTAGTATATATACTTCCTAACAAGTTATCAAACAAACACCCTAAAAAAGGTTTTTTAAAAAAACATAGCCACTTTTCAGGAAAACACTCAACCCCAAGCAAAAAAATAAAACAAAAATATTAATTGAAACATATTTACCTAATGTAGAATACGACCCTTTGAAAATAAATATCCCCAACAAAATTGGTAAAAAAGGCCGCAAAATTGAAAGATTTTTAATTCAATATACGTCGAATGCCCAATCCGAAATAGTTCAGGGCATATCTCTTCAATAATACATTTTGATCAAACAAATTGCTTTGTGGATTATGTAGAGGTTTAAGCCACGGTGATTTAAAACCACATTTTTGCGATTTTTGTTTAGAAATGAGGAAGAAATCAATCTTTTGGCAGATTGGGCAAATAATGGCAAAAAACTGAGTTATTTTTTTTTTCAAAAAACTGATAATCTCTATGATTTTGATCTAAAACAGGGCTTAATATTGCCCAAAACTCAATAATTTTGGCAACAATTTATCAAAAACGACGATGAAAACAGCATATAGCCATAAAAGTGAAAACTGAAAATAAAAAAGTTCAAAATCACAATAATTGAGGGAATCGGTCCAACTCTGACCGAAGCCCGCAATTCTTGTCAGTTGGATTGCCCGGTTCTATTAGTGAACGGGATGATCCAACACTAGATTGGGTTGTTCTTGATACTCGCCAAGAAAGGATTAGTCTCCAAGTTGGATCGGCGATTTCTTAATCATTGGAACTCCAGTTCCGGTTTCACTAAATCAGACCTTATCGCAGGATCAAGAGGAGAGTTGGTTTGGTTCTCTCAAAATTTAGGTAAAAGAAAACCCAAACAAGTAAAGCATGGCTTGGTATGACTTCTATTTGACTCAAGCTCCTCTTCTTATTCTACTTCATGGTTCTTTTAAAATTTAGGCGAAAAAAACCCAAAGTAAGGCAAGGCTTCATAGGGGCGGGGGGTGGCCTCTTATTTTACTTGATGGTTCTTTGAAAATCTCGTAAAAAACTAGTGCAAGTCGCCAAGGGGGGATGGCCCAGGTGATGACATTGTTGGAGTCGCCCTCCACAGCTCCACCACAAGAGAAGAGCTCCAAGAAGGATTGAAGTGTTTGAGGCCTTCCAAGAGGGTGAGAGCTTCTGCCGAGGTGGAGTTCGCTCCGCCAGTGGGTTTGGCAAAGGCGATTAGGGTTGTGCCTTTGTGGTTTCTGAAGATACCCACTATTCCCGCTGGGTCTGGGTTGCTGAGGGAGCATCCGTCAAAATTCAATTTGATTTGGCCGGGTTCCAGGGAGCACCAGAGAGAAGTATGGGGAATTTGCTATGGCTTGAAGATAAGAATGGATTGCCAATTGAGAAGGAAGTCTGAGGATGAGGCTCTTGAACCTGCTGTGATAGCTTCCCCAAAAGATCACTGTGGTTTTGATGGTGTCCCTTAGGGCCCGGGCAGGAGAAGAGAGGCCTTGGAAGATTCTGCGATTGTGCTCATTCCAACTGGTCTGCCATTGAGGCCCTCCACAACATGGTGCTTGATTTAGGCCACAGAAGGAATTGTGACTGCAGAAAAAGGTGGGGGACTGACTTAGGGGTGGCCCAAATCCAGTTGAAGAGGCGAACTAGATCTTCCCATAACAAGTGGACAAAGCTGCCATGGATGAAGAGGTGTGAATCGGTCTCCTTGTTAGCCCTGCACATGGTACGAAGGTTGGGGGTGATCATGCCTCTCCTTTGGATTTGGTCTACAGTCAAGGCCCTCTCCGATAAATCCAGTTGAATATTTGAATTTTGGGGGGAATGAAGGTCATCCACGATTTGGCAACAATAGGTTGTGGCAGGGGAATCGCTGGGCGTCAGGAGGCTAGACAGTGGTAGAAAGAGGCCACAGCGAATACCTCGGAAGGAGTAAGAGACCAAATCATTGTCCTCTCCTTGGGAGGAGGTAGAGAGGGTGGAGAAGGGCAGAACGTGCGAGAAAGGATTGAACCTCGCTATCACAGAGTTCTGTGGAGGCATGGGTCCAGGAGAGAGCATGGCCGACTGGTTCAAATTGGTCCACAATTGAGGCTTTTGGGTCTCTGGTGAGGTGAAAAAGGTTAAAGAAACAGTCCCTTAAAGGGGCGTGCCCAATCCAAAGATTGGACCAGAACTAGACTTTGTTGCCAACATGAGGGTGAAAGCAGATGCTGGATCTGAAGGGGGCGAGGCCGTGAAGGATGGACCTCCAAACCCCAGAGTTGTTGTTGGCTCTAGCGCAAGGCACCCAAGGCGAGCTATGGAGGTGGTACTTGTGGCATCGTACCTGTTGCCATAAGTGATCACACTGAGTGGCCAAGCGCCACCACCATTTGTCGAGTAGGGCCAAGTTGTTCGATTGGAGGCTCCGAATCCCCAACCCCCCTTGGACCTTGGGTTGACAAACCCTTTGCCAAGAAATGAGGTGGTACTTTTTAGATTCCCCTGAGCCCGACCAAAGAAAGTTTCGTATCAATTGTTCTAGGCGACGGGCAACAGAGGGGGGCATATGGAAGAGGGACATTTGGAAAATGGGAACGTTTGAGATACTGGCCTTGGTAAGGGTGATTCTGCTCGCAGAGGAGAGAAATCTCCCCTTCCACTCGGCCAATTTGAGGTCGAACTTGTTGATGATGTGGCTCCATTGGCTCAGTTTGGGTTTGCCAAGACAAAGTGGTAGGCTGAGGTATTTAGAGGGGAGGGAGTTCACCATGCATCCCCACCTATTGGCAAAACTCTAAGTGATGAGTGGGTCGAGGGCAACGCCGATCATCTTTGATTTAGCCAAATTGACCTTGAAGCCAGTGGCCAACTAAAAGCATTTTAGGAATAGAAGTAGGGAATCCACCTGCTACTCTGAGGCACCCAGAAAAGTAGGGTGTCATCAGCACATTGAATGTGAAAAATAGTGGGGCCAGTATTGCTAATCCTGAAGCCTTCAAGCAGACATGGTGACACATTCTGGAGAGCGAACCTCGGCCACTATTGCGAAAGGAAGGGGGAAAGGGGTATACTTGGGGGAGGCCCCTGGAAGAGGGGTAAGAGAGACGTTCAAGAGAATGGAGAAAAAAGGATGATGGATGCCTCCGTTGATCCATTTCCTCCAATGTGCTCTGAAGCCCATTCTGACTTGGGTTTCTTCCAACACAAACCAATTGACGTGGTCGTAAGCCTTTTCTCAGTCCAGGTTAATGATGAGGCCAGAGATTTTGGAGATGTATCTAGAGTGGATACACACGTAGGTGATGAGGGCGCTGTCTAAGATCTGGCACTCTTTAAAGAAGGCAACTTGTTGGGGGGAGATGACCCAGTGTAAGACTTCTTTGAGTCTGGAGCTAGGACCTCAGGTAAGATTTTATGGGAGTTGTTGATCAGACTGATGGGTCTGAAGTCTTTAAGTTCATCAGACCCTTTGACTTTGGGAATGAGGCTATGAAGGTAGCATTTATGCCTTGGTGGACCACTCCTCTATCGTGGAATTCTTCAAAGAAGGATGGAGGAGTTCCTAGAAATGTTTGAATAAGACAATAAGGAAACTGTCAGGAACCCAGGACACGGTCCTGACGATGGTCATTGATGGCTTTGAGGATCTCATCCTCAGAAAAGGGGCATTCCAGCCAGAGAGCCCAATCAGGGGGGGATAGAGGAAGGATAAATCGGCCATTGTGGGAGTGGGTCTGGCCTAGGCCTGGAAAAGTTGTTGACAAAAGTCTAAGCTTGCCCTCTCAACTGACTGAGGTTGATCGAGGATCAAGTTCTAGACCTTGATCTGGGTAATGGTGTTGTCACTTCTTCTACCATTAGCAAAACGATGAAAGAAGGCAGTGTTGAAATCTCCTTGTTTCAACCATTTAATTCTCGACCTTAGGGCCCAGAAGATTTCTGCTTTCCTAAGCAAGCTGTGGAAGTCAGCTTTTGAGTTGGGTTCTAAGGAGAAGTTCACTGGGGGTCAACAGGGTGGGTGTCCTCAGAGCGATCAAGCTCATGGATGGAGTGTAAGAGTTCAGACTTGTAGGTTTGGAAGTTCCCTGGAAGCTGACCACTCCAGACTTTCAGGGAGTCTCTGAGGAGACCAGGGAGTGGAATCCTGGTTCTTTGAGCCATGAGAGTTCGAATCTGAAAGGCTTGGGCCCACCACATGCAGACAAGGTGTCGAGGAGAAGGGGTTTGTGGTTGGAGGTAGTTTTTGGGAGGGCAGATATGTGGGTGCCAAGGAAAGAGGAGTCCCACTTGGGGCTATAGAGGTAGCGATCGAGTTTTGAGAGAGAGGGAGAGGAGGTGGAGTGATTGGACCAAGTGAAGGTGGCTCCTTCAGTAGGGATATCGATGATTTCACTACGGGAGATGAAGTTAGAGAAGTCTAACATGGCTTGGGACACACGGAGGTTGGAGTTTCTTTGGAAATACCATCTGGTGACGTTGAAGTCACCACCTAGGCACCATTCTCAAGGGGGGGCGGACGGATATGTCGTCAAGTTCCTCCCACAGGGCACTCCTGGATAGGTCGGATTTGGGCCGTAAACAGCTGTAAATTTCCATGGGAGACCATTGTGACACCCTGGAGGGAGTTACTGTGATTAAGAAAGAGGCGATGTGAGAAGCAGTGCAAGAATGGGCAACAGGGTCCCAGATGACCCAAATGTTTTATTTTTCTTTTTGACGGAAGTAAAACTGTAAATGATCTATATTTCCAAAAATAAGATCAAGTTAACATGAGATAATACTTAACACCAACCTCAGAACCCTAAAAAGCTTCAAAAAAATAAACAAAATGAAAATGCAGCCAACTGCAACTAAAGAGACAAATCCATGACTCATCATACTTAAAATTAGCCAAACCTCAGAAAGAACAAACATGTATCAGAATTCCCAGGTTTCAATATTTGCAGATCCAGGAGTCAAATATGTATAAATAAATTAGACAGATACATAAATTACAATTGAGAAGTTTCATAGAGCCATTCCAATGAGAATCAAGCAACATTAGCACTAGTTTTTGAGAAAATAGAAGTTCTTGCATTATTTATACATCCCAATTTTCAAACACTGACCTGCCGATGGACCATACGACAGACTGAGCGCTCCAAATCTGAGAATACCTACAAAACAGTTAGTTATTAGCAGCACCAAAGGTATGCACACATGATAAGCAAAATGTAGTGATCTCAAGCACAAGTAATGATAAGACTATTAACCCCTATCGATATAGGGAAATCTGATAATATGATAGCTTGACAATAATAATGGGATGCTTTGTACCTAACTTCCAAAAACTGTGCAAAGTACTTGATGCAAATTACACACAATAGTCCCTTTATAAATCAATAATTCTTGTGGAGTGTGCCAATAAAATGAAACCCCACTAGAATATGAAGAATAAACATAGATAACAAAGTGTACAGTACTGGATATTTGATAAGATATCCATTTCTAAGTATATGTACATCGTAGATTCTAGAGAAACTCATAAATAATTTCAACAAAGTCTCATAGGACAGTCATAACAGACTCGTAGACAACATAGAATGGCTCAAAGTAACAACTCGGATTATGAGCAGGGCCCATGAAACCATGTGCGACACAATGCACCTCAATAACAACAGATTTTCCATAGAAAATACAACTGATAAAAAGTGCTACATATCACTAAATAAAAAAGTGGACTCCAAAATTGGAAAAGGAGAGATCTGCGGCCCATTTGTTAAGGCATGGATTAAGAACCTATGGCTAATGCTTGTGAAAGATATCCAGCAGAAGAGATTTAACATGTGACCCTACCAATCATAAAGGACAAAATATACCATGATCCCATGGAGAATGGTATGGCGAACTCCATTGGATGATAGTATATATTCCCATTGCAAATTTCTACCCCTTCACACGTTGCAACAATAAAAAGAAGTCGGAAGCGAATGGGGCTCAATAAAATGCATACCTTTGCCATTGAGGTCAAAATATCAGCCACAAAGAAGTCAGAGAATGTAATTGGCTGCAGTCAACAACAATACTAAAATAAATTTAGCATTCACAGCAAGCATATACATAGAAACATATCGCTGAATTATCCACACCTACTCACCTGAATTGGAAATGCTATCCGCCAAAGTGTCTTTAACAAGTAATAACGGGAGGATAAATAGAAAATATCAAAAGGGAAAATGAGAACCATCAAAACAACGGCATACAAAATCACCTGCAACGATGAGAAAATGTTAAAACAACCATATCATCCAAATCAGCATAGAGATATTGTGAGGTAAAACAAATTGTTCTGTTAATAAAATTAGGCATTTCAACCATTTATTCAAGTTAGCATCAAGAACTAGCAAAAAATACAAACAAAGCAACATTGAGAGAACGAAATATTGGGAACACGGTACTACAAATATCCTCATTGCATGCAAAGTGGCAGAAGGTCAGATTCCTGCCTGGGGCAAAGTTCCTGGAACTCAATTTCATAAGATAACCTATGGGTATATGGAAAGCCCACAATAATAGATCTTTTCATGTGGGAGATGCATTCCAAGCTCTGCATCTGATACTTTATGTAATATGCTTTCAATTTTGCACTTTGCATAATGAGTGAATGAATCCAAGTAATCTAAAGAAACCACCACATGTGTGTGCCGCACACAATAATTACATGATCATATATAGGATGCTCTCTCAAACAAAAATAACAGAGAAATAGATAAAAAAACAAGATACCACCAAATAAGACACTAACTTTGGCACTGCCTTATGGTGTTTGCTTCCAGTCCACTAGATCAAGATTCAATTGCAATTCCATGAGGTTCAAACTCAGAATTCATTTTGGTGAAAAAATAAGTAGTTAAAAAAAACACAAGCTAAAGTTCAAGTTTTTCATCGTCCAAGGCTATATAAATCAATCAGCACGGCCACTTGGCTTCCCCCAAGGTTCTACTCTCCCATAATTGCTTCCACACTAGCTAGCCTAATTCTCCACATGTGTTGCCCTTGACTCCGTGAAACCCTAATTTTCATACCAAGTATCAAAAAGCTCTTAAAACATCATTAGCCAACTCCAAGCCTACCTAAGTCCTTCGACATTCACGATTTTGAAGCATCAAGAACCTATGGATAGTTACTCCTAGGTCACAAGCCCATGGCAGTCACAAGCACTAGCATAATTAACAGGATCACAACAGTCACCTTCAGATCACATCACATGAATTTTGATGGAGAGAAGTACCATGGTGAAATCACCAAATGAATTTAAAAGCACCAATTACTGCTTAGTTTTGTTAACTGATAAGCAATTTAGATAAAGGCTTTACATACCCAAACTCACAGATGCAGTGACATAGCCCTCACAACTACTAAAAGAAAATCGACAGTTCCCCAAAACCCAAGGAACTTTTCATAATTAGACAGCCAATGAATTCCAGCTAAAAGATAAAAGATTAATGACATACATTAAACTATGGCTACAATCATTACAAACAAGATTCCACTACATGAATTTACATTGAATATTCTAACACTTATAAATTCATTTTCTCCCAATATTACTGCCAATCATGTGTTGAGACAACTTATTTTTTCTTCAATAATTCACAAATAAATTTCTCAACAAATAATCAAACTTATGAAAAATAATGTCAAGTATTAGGATTCACTTATAAACACATATCTGCACACCCAAACACAAAGAAAGAATTTCCAACCATATAATTCATAAACGGATGTTGTGACAATATAAAATGTCATTTCGGACCTGCCAAATATGCCGAGGAAATCTTCATGGGATCAGGGCACACGATTTTCTGTGATAATCTCCAAGGAATCACTGCGAAAGACTTACTTTTAGGATCAGGAAGTAAAACACAGACTTGAGCAAACTTGAGCACCTTCTTGTCAAACCATATGTATTGAATCCTCCAAAGCTAAGAGCCTTCAAAGACAATTCAAAAGACACATGCAATGTAACACGTTTGCAGATAAGCTCCACACAACAAGACCAGGATGGAGCAGAGTTACAGGAAACTTGCATGTGGTTAAATCTACCCCCATAAAACAAGATCTCTTAATGGTGATTCCTAGCAGAAAAACTGTTTGTTGTTCCACTCCTAATCCAACCCCCAAAGGAGTTCCCAAGGATGGACACGTAAAGGAAAAGGCACTTACATAAAAGGCCCAAAATGATCATTATAGTACTTCTCCATATACAATGTTGAACAATCAATCCAAATTTGTTTCCTAGATCTAGAACACTAGGAACTAAGAATGCCCAAACCAATTCACATAAAGAACGACAAACTGGGAATCTCCTAAAACTCTAACTTTACAAAAAATATTGAGAATATCTCATGTCAGGCCTTTCTACAACTAGACCTCGTTAGTAATTGATTTTGAAATCTGTTATTGAACAAAACATCATCACATTTGCAAACTTAAATAGATGCCAGTCTTTGAATGTACGCATCATTTCTGTAGGCTCCAAATGGTCACTGAGTCCTTGATGAGGACATTAAGGTATTAGCATTTTAATTTTTTGATTTTTGGAGAGTAAAAGCTAAGGTTGGTCCTTAAAATTACTTTAGTTAATTGAGGGTCTTTATGCCTTTCAGAGTTGTAGAGAACTCAGGTGTAGTTTAGTCTTTTATTATTTATTCAATTAATGGTATTTTATGACATTATGATGAAATAAATTGTATATGAGGAGAGAAAGGGAGATCCAGCCCCTAGGAAGTTTATTTTTGAGAACTTTGTGAAGCAGGCTTTTTGAATTCTTTGTTTGAAGGCCATGGAGAAGGCTTGATGCACTCCTGAGTTCCTTCTCTTTAAGGTAATATCCAATTTCTTCTTTCCTTTCTTTCCTTTAAGTGCTCAGTATTATTCCTTCTTTCTTAATTTTTCTCTTTCTCCTTTTTTTCTGCGTTCTTCTCTTGTCTTTCTTTAACTTTTTTTGCTCATTTACAGCCCTCCAAACCAGTAAACACTCCCCATTTAAAAATTCACTAAAATCTGAAAAAGTACCACATCTGTCCTTCGTAGATTTATCCCAAAATAAAATCCCTCAAAACCTTAACTGTAATTTCACATCAAATGTCAAAAAAGCCTTATTTCCTTATACACCACTAACTTCACTACCCTATAACTAGTCATGGAAACCGTCCGGAATTAATTTGAAAATTATTCTACAACTTTTCCCCTCTCCGGACTGTAGGCTAGCTTTTAATTTGATTTAGCTAATTTTGTTTAAAGAGAGATTCCACTTCATTATGGAATTGAAATCCCATGTCGCCGTCATTGAAGCAAATTCCTAAATTGCTTTATTTACACAAGTTTGTTAGTTTTATGGAAGAGTATCTACTGAAACTGTAGATAATTAACTTTATTTGAATTTAAAATGTTCTTCAAACACATTTAGGGTCTTGTAATCAAAGATTGTTGAGTGGTTGATCCTAGGTTACATTTGGTATAAAAGCAAGTTCTGTCCTAGGGATCAGGGTCCAAAATTGATTTGTTTAGGTTTTGTCCTAGAGTTTTAACGTGTCCCTTAGGTCTTTAAGGTGTTCTCTCCGATGTTATGTCCCTTAGGTGCTGTTCTATTTGGTGATATAGTGTTTGTAGTGTTTTAGGTGTTGTAATAGAGGGTTCTTGAGGCCTTTTGGTTGCTACCATATAGTTCCCAAGTTAGGAACGTTGTTCCAATGGCCATCTAGAGTGCAGGAAGTGTCCTTCCTTAGGTCCAAAAGAAAAAGGTCCATATTAGGGTTAGGTTAGTTCACTTTCCATGACAATTCAAGGCAACGTGATCCAAGTTCATGGCAGGGCCTGTGGCAGTAGCCAAGCCAGGGGTGTGGTCAGGTAAAGGTTGTTTGGCAGCAATCCATCCCACAAAGACTTGATCAACATCATGACTCCCTCTAGCAAATCAGGAAGCAATTGACGCAGATTGCGCATGCTGTTGGTGTTAAGGTGGCACTTCCTCCTGATCCTCCACAGAAGCCTCATGAAGAAGTTAGTTTGTGTGCTTTCAAGAGAAGTCAAATAGTAAATGAGAAAGATGGAGAGTATTAAGATGACTCTTATGAGGATCCAACAGTGTTTCAAAAAGTGCTAGGCGGAACCTAGGCGGTCGGGGGGGTCCAGGCCGCCCAGCGCCTAAGCGGGTGCCCAGAACCTGAGCAGCCCAATGGACTTTTTTTTTTTTGGGTTTTCTCTCTTTAAAATAGCCTCTAATGAGTTTTAGGTTTCAAATGAACCTAAACCCACAATTTTTCCCCTTCAGTATTAAAAAAATGACCCAAAAATGCCCTCAAGGAGCTGCACTTTTCCACCCCTTGGTGGGGCGCAGAACCTAGGCGGGTTCAGGCGGGTGCCCAGGGATATCCGCCTAGGCGCTGGGCGGTCCGCTTTTTGAAACAGTGGGATCCAATAAGCAGTATCCTAAAGAAGATCAGATCTATCCCTAGATTGAATAGAGCCTCATCTGAGGAGGACAATAAGAAGACACAGACAGTTGTACCTCTTATGGCTAAAGATGAGGAGACTCCACCAATTGCACAGGAGTTTCAATTACTCTTGAAGGAATTTAGGGAGACCATCTAGAAGATCTTCCTAATAGCCTTCCACCTATGACAGATATACAACACTATATAAAGCGCACTCATAGTTTCAAACAACGCTAGGCGGCGCCTAAGCGGGCACCCAGAACCTGGGCTGCCCAATTGAATCCAAAATGGATTCTACAGCTATATATTGTATAAAATATAATAATTAAGTATTTAGGGCACATCAAAATTCAAAGTAGCACACACTCCATAAGCATAACCATAAGTCGATCCATATCCAATTAAAACTTAAACTTTACCAACCAAAGTTATCAAATACCAAACCAGTAGAAATACAAATCCACTATCCACAAGACCACAATACTCAACCATGAGGAAGAAAATAAAATGAAAGTAATACTTGAAGATTCAAAAGAATCTTCAATAGTTCAATCAATGTTCAAAGTTTAATCATTATTCAACATTTATCATCCATCAATCATCATCAGGAAAAGTAGGGTCAGCTGCATTTGCATCATATTCATTGCCATCGGAGTCTTCAACCTCCTCGACATATTGGTCGTCTTCCTTCGTCTCTTTTGAATCTGCCTCTTCTTCCTCCTCTTCCTCTACCCTCGTCCTCTGTACAGAAGATCTAGTGGCCCTAGGAGGG